AAAATTCCATAAATGTGTTCTTAGGCTTTGTTTTATTCTATTTATAAATTTAATGAATGTTCATTTTAGAAAATTGGAAATACAAAAAATGGTAACTTTAAAAATTAAACCACTGAAAATTCTAACCGTAAATATCACAGTCGACATTTGGGTGATTTTTCTGTTTTTCTTTCTCTGTGTGTGGTGTATCATTGGGAACCTATAATGTATACAGGTTTGCTTTCTGCTTTTTCCATTTCACTAAATATTCTTTGAAGGCATGACTTTTAAAACTACATGAGAGTCCAGTTTAGAAATATGGCATAATTTATGTAACTATTTGTGAAACACTTGATTTTTTTTTAAAGAACATTAAATTTTAGATGATTATGTAAAATAATCTTAATGATACTTAGAGTTCTACTTAAAATGTGGTTTCAACTTTCAGTTCCCAGATTGACCTGATTTCTGTTCGTTTTCTGAAAAATACAACCTACACCTTATTTTATACCTTTTTAGATAATATTATGGAAAAGATGTTGAAACCTGTAATTCTTGCATTTTAAAACATAGGAGAGTGACTGCTAACGTAGCTTTGTATAAATGATCCCCTGTTAAACTTGAGAATTTTTTTTTAAGCATTTTGAGTTGTTTTTCATATGATAGCTAATGAATTCAGCACGACTTCTCCAGCCCCAACCTTTTTCTCCTGTTTAGCATTTTCCACTTTTTTACTCTGTGATGAACAAGCCCTCCCTGGTTAATTATGTATATATTTAGCTACTGCATGTGTTGGGCTTATTATTGTCATCTAATTAGATGTAACTTGAACTGCTTGCTTCTAGAAAAATCATTAAAAATTCTTTCCTAATGACCTAGAGATGACAAAATGTCTGTAAAGTGTGAAGAAGCAGACAAGCACAGGAACATCGCTCTTAAAGAGTGTTAATCCAGATGCTGCAATCATCTAATTAAACAATATTTTGCTGTCATTAACATTTTCACCAAGGAATTGCAGTTATAATTTCTTTGTCAGCTGTCTCTAGATCACTTTACCTTCAAAACCAAAGTGCCATATAAAAACATTAAATTGGATGGTTTAATTAAAAAGTTTTTTTTTAATGAAGAAACATATCCAGTGATTCTGAGATCTCATTTACTGTGTTTCACTTTTATTATTTGAGTAGATTAGTGTCATAGGCTTGCAGTATTTAATATTCATCTTCTAAGATAAATTCTTATAAGCATAGTTAGCAAAATAAAGTGTACATATATATTTATATGTATACACATATACATACACATATATATACACACACACAAATATATATATATACTTACCACTGCTGGAGAAGGAAAGGACCCTACCAATTATAGCACCAGTGTATTTACTAAATATCAACTATCCTAAAGAAAAAGCAAAACAATTAGTAAATAAATATCTAGGTATGCCAGAGCCTAACAAGTATTACTTTGGAAATATCTCACTTTTTGGATGATTTAATGAACAGTATTTTTTTTTTCATTTCACAAAGATGTTCAGTAAAGTAATTAAAGGAGTAATGCTAATTCATGATTAAAACATATCAATGCAAAACCCCAAAGTGCCACTTAGTCACTCTTTTTTTTCCATGTAACATTAAATACATTGTGCATTTTTTATTAAAATCAAATACATATATGACTGTCCATTTTGATAGGCTCTTATGCAGAAATTGTTATTAAAAATAAGCATTAATGTCATATTTATTTATAAAGTTTATTATATTTATTAGAATTAAAATAGTGCTGTAAACCTCTGCTAATTTAAAAATTACTAAAATTTTCTTCTTAGCACTTATTTTCAAAGGACCACTCAAAGATTATTTAAAGTGAATTGCAAAAAACAAAATGCAGGACAGAATAATAGACATGAAATATGGTTACTGGCATCATTCATTTTATGTATACGTGTGTGTGCATTTTTAAATAATGCTTTTCTTCTTTGTATTTCTTTCTAAAAATAGCATTATATCTTTTTTTAACTTTTATTTTAGCCTCAGGCGGTACATGTGCAGATTTGTTATGGGGTAAATTACATGTCACGGGTGTTTGATATACAGATTACTTTGTCATCCAGGCGATAAGCATAGTACCCAATAGGTAGTTTTTGGATCCTCACCTTCCTCCTTCCCTCTACCCTCAAGCAGTATCCTTTTCTTTCTTAGAAAATCATTTCTATTAAAAGGCTAGGGTCTTCAAATATGGTCTATATTTTTATGCTATTTGCATTTATACAGTACATTTAAATACTGTGTTTATGTAAATTGGCTTTTTATTTTAACAGTTTTCCTTCATATGTAAGTTATAAAACTTCATCAGAAATTATTTTAACAATTGTGGTATCTGATTTTCATCTATCAATTAATTTATTTAAGTAACATATGTTATATCTAGATAGGTAGCATCAGCATTATTCTGTTAAAAAATACACACTGGAATACTTGCTTTTCATTAAAATCTCCAGATTTTTAAGTAGAACAGTTCCCCTCAGAAAATGGAAGAGCTCTAAACTCTGCCATGGACCCATTTAGGATCCCAGAAGTAGCTCTGTCTAGCCAATCTGTACTCTTTGTATATATACATATATTAAAAAAAAAAAAAATGAGCCCTATCAGGTGTCCTAGGTTAGCATACATATGAACTATTGGTAATAAATTTTCAAGTTTAGAATTGTACAGCTTTTATTTTACAATATTGGTACTGTTTTAGCAGATTATTGTCATGTACCAAAGACTTTAATATGGCTCCAAACTCTCATTTAATCTCATTATTCTTCTTCACCATAGACTTAAATACAAGCAGGTTCATCAATTGCTTGAGCCACCTAGCTGCAGACATTTTCTTCTAGTTTAATGCAGACATTCACAGTATCATTCTCTCTCATATATACCTCTATGCCTTTGCATAATCCTCATCTTCTAAAGATAATGTTCTGCAGTTTTCCTTTACTTTACTTACGTTTGTTCATCTTCTGAAATTTGGATCATTTTATTCCATTTTTATCACATGCATATCCATTCCATCAACAAATATTTATTGGGCAGATGGTATGTGCCAACACAGAGAGATTACAAAAACAAACAAACAGCCCAGCCCTGACATTTATGAGTTTACAGACTGGTGGAGAGGCAGAGAAGTAAACGGTGATGTGTATCAGGTATAATAGAGGTCTGTATGAGAACTGTGGTGGGGCAACACAGGGGAAGCCCTAACCTAGCTCTAACCTCATCCCAGTAAATGCAAAGTGGAAGCAGTATTCTGCTGCCATTATCCACACCTATATTACATACTTACAGCAGTTTATACACTTAAAGCAATATGCAGTTTAGTTGTAAAATGCAAAGCTTCATATAATAAACAGATAAAATAGTCATCAATAAAATGTTTTCTAAATGTATTAATTAATTTGGTTTGGTGCTTACAATTGCAGATTTTAGTTCTTACTCAGATTGTAGTTCTTTTTTTTTATATTTCACAGTTATGTTTTCCAACTGCTATAAGAGCAGATATCATTTAACGTAATTTCCTGATGATGAACAAGATAATACCTGCAAATCTATATTACTGTGATAGTACATGTGGTGTGTGCAACCACGGCATACTGGATGAAATTCATATCAGTAAATACCAGTGAAATAGCTGTTTTGTGTGAATTTTAATGGAAATTTAGAAAATTACTGATAATTGGATCATAACACATTTTTATAAAAAATAATTTTGTTCAACAAAACTTTTCTTAGGATCCTGTTTCTTTGATAGCCATTCTTTTAATTTCACCTGATCCTATGTTTTTTCAGTTCCAGTTTATGAGGGGGGGCACAGCTTGCTCCCCTAAACTTTCCACATTTCCAGTGTACCTCAATATCATATCTGAAGTGTTTAAGACATTCTACCAAAACATAAACAGACATACTCACCCTAAGATCCAGCAGTTCTTCACTCAGGTGAAACAACGTAAGATAAAAAAAAAAAAAATCATGAACTTAAGGAGTGAAAAAATGTATGATTGACATCTGCCTCTGTACTTTTTCATCCTAGCTTCAGAGTACTTCTGTCCACTTGCAAATTCTCTGCATTCATTCTTGATATAAGTTTAACATAGTATTCTGTGTACTCATAATTTCTCGATATATATTCATTATAATAGAATACCATCACAGCTGGGCGTAGTGGCTCAGGCCTGTAATCCCAGCACTTTTGGAGGCTGAGGCGGGCAGATCACGAGGTCAGGAGTTTGAGACCAGCCTGGCCAACATGATGAAACCCCATCTCTACTAAAAATACAAAAATTAGCCAGGTGTGGTGGCATGTGCCTGTAATCCCAGCTACTCCGGAGGCTGAGGCAGGAGAATCGCTTGAACCCAGGAGGCAGAGATTGCAGTGAGCCAAGATCACGCCACTGCACTCCAGCCTGGATGACAGAGCGAGACTCCATCTCAAAAAAAATAAAAAATAATTAAAAGATAAAATAGAATACCGTCACCTAAGCTGCAAATGTGCAGGTCATTGGGGTGACTTCCTCCATAATTACTTTCAGGGCCTGTAACTGACAAGGCTCTGCTTCCAGGGTTGCAATATTATCTACATCAGCAGAAGAGAGATGAGATACACATGCAGGAAGTTTCAGTGGGCCAAGCCTTGAAGAGACTTTGCTCACATTCTGTAGATTAGAACTAAATCCCGTGGCCATAGCTACTTGTAAGGGAGGCTGAGAAATGTGGTGTAGCACAGAAAGAGGAGAATCAATTACAATAACCAGCCAGTAGTCTCTATCACAATCTTATAAATAGTAATTCTGGTTATGTTTTAAAACAATTGAATGAATTCACTTGAAAAGCATTGTTATCAGAGTTAAAGGTATGGTTCAATAAATACAAAGTTACTTTTCTTCTGAAATTCAATAGATGCTTTGTAAGAACAGAAACTATTTCATAAGCATTTTGTGTATACAAATTTTTATTTCTGTTTTTCTTTACTAGGACGGACATATAATGATCTGAACCAATATCCAGTATTTCCATGGGTGTTAACCAACTATGAATCAGAAGAATTGGACCTGACTCTTCCAGGAAACTTCAGGGATCTATCAAAGGTAACTTTTAAACATATAGAAGTCAGCTTTCTTCGTAAGGCTGTAGTCTAATAGTATTTCTGTCAGAGTATAAATAGCCAGTTAATGTTTGTAAGAAAGTGAAACTGGTTATCCTGACTTACACAGTCAGTTTCTAAATCTTACCAATTCTTAGCACAGGAATTAAGCTACAAGAAGATAAACTAGTACTAGCATAGGCAAAATGAAATGGGTATTTGAGAAATAGCACATGTAGGGAGAGGTTTCTCATATATCCTAGGCTTTAAAGTCTAGGTTTAAAACCTAAAATTAGTAGAAAATATGATGGCAGATCATTTATGTGATATATTCCTTAGATGATAAGGCATGTTATATTGACCATAAAATACACACATTGTAGGGAAATATAATACTGAAAAGAAAGTCAGTTTAGTTTATCAAGTTTCTATCTATATATGAGAAAGAAGATATGGTCCAAAAGATGGCAAGAAAATGGTGCATAACGGTAATAAGAAATAAAAGGCAAAATTTTTATTAGCTTACCTCGTTTATCCAGAGGAAACTACAGTGTGATACTGAACTGTTGGAAATTCAGTGAAGAACTGGGAACTAAGCCCAAAAAGCTGCTCTATAGTCTAAGCTTACACCAGAGGCTTGCCTTAAAGTTCATGTGTGTTAGCCGTAGTAAAGTCTCAGCCCATTGACTTTGAATGTATCTCTCTTTTCTATGAGACTTGATTGTCTGATTTAGCAATCCACAGAAAGTTGAAAGGTATTTGTGTATACATTTGGTTTTGGGGGGCAGGTCTAAGGGGCTAATGGACAAGAGCAGCATAAGCTCTGTGAATTAGGGAAACGTCATTACCGCCGATTTAAAATGAATCCCACAGATGGTTTTTAACTCAGCATGCCTGTGCCTGCGCCTTTTCTGGCCTTTGAAAGCTAGACTGTTAAACTTGCTCTTTGACAAAATCTTGTCTGCATGTATTTTATTTAACATTAATTGAATAATCATTACTTAGACATTATAAAATATATATACGATACAAATTCAGAGTATAGATTATCAGGTAGCATATTAAAACCTCATATGATGACTACTATTATGTCTATTGTATTATTTTTAAAACAAGGAAGGAAGTTCTTTTTCTTCGAAATCAACTGGGATATTGTGTTTAAAGGAAACTTACAGACTGAAGCTCCTTTTTTCTCTCCATCTATTTATTCATTCTTTCAGTTGTTCAGTCAACAAATATTTATCACACATGTACTATATGTCGAACACTCTACAAGTGAAAGAGTGTACAGGAGTGAATAAAGCAGACATATTCCCAGCCACTTGGAGGGAGTTCAGCCCAGAGCAAAAATGAAAACTCAGATAGTTAACAGCAATATGAGAGGCCAGCATTTACGAGATAGGTTTAGTGGGGACTGTGCCTCACTGGGGAGTACAGGCTCAGCCTCGCTAAGACATTTGGACTCAAATGTTCTTGAAACCTAGCCCAGCCAAAGAAAATGTGGCACTCATTATGATTAGTATGGTTTATAGAAGGCATTTATTTACCACATATTTGCTGGTAATCATAGATTTTTTCCATTTATCCGTGTAGGAAAAAATGAGTTAAAACAAATGAGGAAGTCACTGTTTCTACAGTAACTGAAGATATAAACATTTCAAGGTTCTTTTTTGTTTTTTGTTTTTTTTTTTTTAGATGGAGTCTCGCTCTGTCGCCCAGGCTAGAGTGCAGTGGTGCGATCTCGGCTCACTGCAGCCTCCACCTCCTGGGTTCAAGTGATTCTCCTGCCTCAGCCTCCTGAGTAGCTGAGATTACAAGCTCCTACCACCACACCTAGCTAATTTTTTTGTATTTTTAGTACAGACGGGGCTTCACTATGTTGGCCAGGCTGGTCTTGAACTCCTGACCTCATGATCCACCCGCCTCTGTGTCCCAAAGTGCTGGGATTACAGGCATGAGCCACCACGCCCAGCCCAGCCCACTTCAGGGTTTTTATGCTAACCTGTGTAATGTGTATTTCCTTTGGCAGAGCTTTTCCTTTTGTGCCTCACATGTGCTCCTCTAATTTTATATAGTGTCAAGTAAATAATACAGGTAAACAGATGGAGCCTAAATAAATTAGGCAATATGACTAGAAACTGTCGTTTTGCAAGCGTGTAGTTCTTCATGCTGTGAACAGTGGAATCCATGAGCACTTAAAAGGTAGATAGCTTTTCTTCAAATTTTACTATATTCCATGCTTTAGCAATTTCTTCTTTCTATTCTGTCACCCTAGCATGATAGGAAAATGTTAGCAAATTAAAGCCTGTTGATATGTTAATAAATTACTTGTGCATTGTTCCCATGCTTCATTGAATTTCTTAATAGGAGCTTCTTACAAATGGGCTAGAAACCTGAGACTATCCTGTGTAAAATCCATCAATAAACAAGATTTTAATGTATGAAAATATATCTTATTATACGCCTAATGGGAAAATGACATTTGAAGTATAATAATATAATTGGAAGGAAAAACTACTATAGTGCAATATTATCACAATGAAGAGATGTCCACTAAGAAGCACATGAAATTCTTGTAGTTATAATCAATACTACAAATGAAAATATTAATGGAGAGTTTTACTCTTCAGAAGCTCAAGGAAGAATTGAAATACTTGAATGATATAACCAAAAGCATTCTAAAAGACCTCTAACAACAAGAGTAGTTGTTTCTAAACAAACACTGGGAGTCCTGATCCCAGTAATAATTCTTAGCAGTGAATAATTCTAGAATTTGTTTCAATAAACATGTGGTACCCCAAATAATTTCTATATTCTTTACTATATGAAAGAATTAAGAAACTATGAAATGTACAATGCCAAAAAAATAAATATTTATTTTCTTTCTTTATACCACCACATTACACAGGCTTCATGAAATTCTGTGTTGTATCAGTTGGGAAACTTTTGAATGAAAGTTTCAGAAAACACAGCTGAAATTGGCTTGAATAATAATGGGAATTGGGAAAAAAAATCAAGAGGTTGTAACTGGAACATGAAAAGAATGTAGGCCTCGCTCAAATATTTGTTTCTCTGTCACATATTGTGCAAACTTAAGATGTTTTCTAAATTCTCTGAACTTGTTTGCTCATCTTAAAAATGAACACAATCATACTTACATAATAGGGTTGTTAAAAGATTTTAACACCGTAAAGTAGTTAAGGCACCTAGTATAATGCCTGACACACAAGTGGCATTCAGTGAGTGGCAGTGACACAGCAAATTTCCATGATTGTTAGTTGAGAGTTCACTATCTTTGGTATGATTGACAAAAACCTGGTGAACGTTTGTTTGATTCCTGTGATTTATTTTTTATTCTAATAAAATTAAAAAGTAATGCCATTTAATAAAATATTTTGAATTCAATAAATAATTGTTTTATCATCTATTTGAGTTATCAAATTATCAAAACTGTAACATCAAAACACTAAGGTTATATTAAATGTTTATTAGAACTTTAGATGCACATTTATTTAGACTGAAATATTTTATATTTATAATATTCTTACTTCTTCTTTGGCCCACTTAATTGAACACTTGGAGAGCACAGGAGCAAAAAAAAAAAGTTCTTTATCAGTAAGATTTTTTTAGACCTCTCATTTTATTAGACATCATAGGTTCAAGTTTTATTTATTATGTGTACAGGTTAGAGGCTATGTTTATTGTTTTACATGAGGGACAGCAGATGAAATAATCTGCCTTTGACCTATCTTTTCAACACTAACCAACAGTAGGTTTAGAGATTTCCTCCCCACTCGATTTATATAGATATTCCTTATGGAGATGTAACTTTATGGTGAAATCTATCTTACAACATGATATATGCTAGTGTTTCAGTTATTTACAGATACTCATATGAACTCGACTCTTAAAGTATAGTGGTTACATGACTTTGACGTGAAGCACAGTCTTCTGCTCATTAAAGTGTAAATAGAATTTTCCTATTTCCCAGTCATGCCCTCTGATAAGTGAAATAGTTTCATCACAAAACCAAGTCCTACTAATATTGACATGAACATAAGACATCACATGCACACACCCATTCATCGAGTGGAAAAAATAGATTTTGTTAACACAGGAGTTGTTTGACTGACAGATGATGATAAGCATAACCATTTTCCCAAATTATTATGCCACTTAATAAAAGGAAGTGATAATGCCTTGAGGCTTTGAAATGTGATAATGCAAATGGATGCACTGAAGTGTGAATACTCTTCAACCATCCACCCTCGATACTGCCAAATGTCTATCTACCACATAGAAAAGAGTTTATATTGGTAAGGTGGGGAATCCACGACTCAGCAATCTAGAGCAAGTTCGTTTGTTTTGTTGTTGTTGTGGTTGTCGTTTTTGAGATGGAGTCTCCCTCTGTCACCCAGGCTGGAGTGCAGTGGCACAATCTTGGCTCACTGCAGTCTCCACTAGAGCAAGTTTCTATGGTTATTTTATCTTTCTTTTTCACCATAAGTTAACAACATCTGAAATGAAATTAATTCCATTTACTTGATCATAATCTACCTAATGCTTAATTTTAAACAACAAAACAGGAAGTATGGGCAAAATACTAGGTGTGTTAGTAGTAGTTAGGATGATATAAAATAAAAGATAGAAGTGTGAATGTGTAAATTTAATTATATACTATCTGCCAAATAACCCTGCTGCCAAATTTGAAATATTTGTTTCAATGTATGTTGAATGCTGCCTTAACATATAACCCACAGTATGTTGAAAATTGTTTTCATTAGACTTGCTTATATGGCAGTGCTGAGGGACAAGGTATTGATTGGCAGTGTTTGGATACTGTTTTAAACTCATGGGATATTCGTTTATTTAAATTAATACTTTTATTCATTCATTCTTTCTTTCATTACACAAGCATTTATTGCCAACCTACTCTGTGCCAGACACTGGAGATACAAAGGCAATAAGACTTAGTCCATACCTTTAAGAAGTTACAGTCATTTT